TTAATTAATTTATTGATAATAAATAATTTTTTTAATAAAGACATTGTACCGACATTGTAGAGACAATGTAACGAATATAATCAATTGATGAATTTGAATTTTGAATGTAAAGAATTTTTATATTGGAGAAAAATAAAGACAATATAACTAATGAAATTATTTCTCTTATTTAATTTATTGATAATTGATAATGAATAATTTTTTTTTTGAATAAAGGCATTGTAGACACATAATTCTAAATTAAAGAAATGCATATGTATTAATTTTTGTTGTAGCTACTAAATTATTATTTAATTATTTAATTTAATAAGAGTAAAATAGAGTACTAATTATGCCAACTTTGATTGGGATGTGGTTTGAACCTAAGACTTTTTTTTTTTTTTTTTTTTTATATTTATTGAAATCAATGAGTAAGTTAACAGTGAACTAACAGAAATTAACGGAAAAGATAATATTTAACGGAAAAGTTAACGGATAATCATATTCATTAAGGATAAATTAGGAAATCTCAAGGAAAAATTAAAATCTGATCAATTTGAGCCATTCATTTGATTAAAAAATTTGACCGTCATTTTTTCTACCCATTATAGGCATAACTCTCTTGGACCCTTATTAGTATAATATATAAAATAATATAATAGATTTTCTATGTGCGATGTGCAAAAATAAATGCTCAATATTAATATTCAATATTAGTTATATTGAAATATGTTTTTTTTTTTTAAATGATAGTATATAAATTTTTTTTTACAAAATAATTCATTATATTGTTGTAGATTTCATATTAGAGTTAATTCCACCAAATGTCCCTTGTCTTTGGTGACAATTCTAGATTTAATCACAGACTATCGTTTTTGTTATTTTTTTTTTATTACAAAGGAAAAAAGGGGATACCCATACAACCTACACCTATACTAAGGCTCAAAACCTAAACCTCCCACATAAGGGAACAATTCGATACCAGTGGACCACAAGCCACTTGGTATCATTTTTGTTATTTAATATCCCAAATTATTATTTATTGGACACTTTTAGTCATTCTCATGAATTTTCCTATTTTTAGTAAGGCATTTTTGTCTCTTCATATATATATATATATATATATATATATATATATATATATATATATATATATATATATATATATATATATATATATATATATATATATATATATATATATATATATATATATATATATATATATATTGTTTCAACCGGTTTAATTGATTTACTTTACTAAAACCCGGTTGAAAAATATGGTTACTAAAAATCAGAGGTTACCTAAAGTCATAAACCAATTAAACCAGTTGGAACCAGAAAAATAACAAAAGAAAAGTGTGAAAAGACAAAAATACCCTTACTAAAATAGGACAAGTCATGAGAAGAACTACAAGTGTCCAAAAAATAACAGTGTAACACCCCTAATTTTTAAAGCGATTAAAAGCTTATATAAACAACGCAAGCTATCATTAATTATCCCAAACAGAGCATAACTGAACATAATTGTCGGGGTGCTATGCCACATCTAGGTTTGAGAACCTAGATGCACAAGCTAAACTAACTGAACAAGGTATAAACTATAATTAATATCTGTTTACACAATTCAAGGCTCACAGACCGTCTAACTACCACTAAGCTAGATCCACGAACCGTCTAACGCGCTCCTTAGCTAAAGACTGTCACCTGAAAAACACATCATAGCAACCGTCAGCGAATGATGCTGAGTAACCCACTCCCACGCGTTAAGTACAATATAGGTAGATATAAGAAATCATTTTGAAACTGGAATACATATATACTTACGAGACTCTAATTTAAATCCAAGATCAGGACTCAAGACACAACAACAAACTCGATATTATAGAACAATCACAAAGACTAGCATGCGTCCTAAGTACACGATACAAGACGTAATAAACAGATAGGCATATAAATAGCAAATAGAGACAACACAGGAATCCAAGACGATCAATTAGCAAGTAATCATCAAGTCACACAATCCATCTTCCAACCTTATACCAAGTTTCAACCTTTTCACTCCACTCCATCCTTATTTCAGTTCCAACTTGTACCTCCAGCCACCCTTATACCTCCTCCTTATTCCTCCGGAGCAACTACATGCCCCACTCCGTAACCACCAACAAGTCCACCAACATGGTAGGACCGAAGTGTCATACGCATGGTCCGTACCTCTAGTACCAATACCAAGGGGTTAGCGCATATAGCTCTAACATGACACCGCGACGCTTATACCCTGACCCAGGCCTTTAGCCAGCTAGTCCAAGGGGTGGTCCGTGCCTTTAGCACGATAACCGAATACTCGTAGTGCTTTCCGCCAACAATTCATCTCCACCAATCACAATCTCATCATCATCAGTCGCACCGATCATTGCGCAATGACCACGATACTCATCATCATTCAATCAATCAACACATAATCAATCAATAATAATCAAGACATAACAACAACGACACGTACTACACATAAATTCCTAGAACGGTACTCAAAACATCAAACGAGACTCATACACGTCAAACGGGGTACAACGGGACACGGGGAAACATCAAATGGGAAAAACACCACGCCCCATACCCACTTTTCAGCAGGTGGAGGACCACCCGCCGGCGGGCAGCCTTGATTCCAGCGGGTGGCCGGCGGGCAGGCCACTGCCCGCTGGAATTGGGCACGCCGGGCAGCGGGTAAGTGGTGGGGACTGGTCCCCCCACCTACCCCCCACTGGTACTACGGTAGAAATTCAATTTCGGGTTCGCTCGGGGAACTCAAAACCATGTCCAAACACATTCTAACACATAACAACAACATCACAGATTCAATTAACGAAGATTAAACCAAGAATCATTCCAAATACGTTCTAACACGATTCCTAAACATGTCAAGACTCAACATCAATCACATAACGATTTATGAGCATCCGGAACCTCAAGAATATCAAGAAATCTATATGCAAAGCCCTAAAGACAAGTCCTAGGCTACACTCAACACCCGATCATGCATAAACCCTCCTAAATATACCAAGAACATCACAACAACGAGATCCACGATATAAACCCTTGCTGACAAACTCTAGACATAAATAAATACAAGATCACACATATAATCAATCACAACATCAAGATCAACAAGATTATCAAATAAACATAATATAAATCCTAGGCAAAGCTCTATCAAGACTCAATCACAAAATCACACATCAAAGGAGCCAATAATCAAGATATAGCAAGGAAAATAGGTTTTGTAAGACATTGGTTACCTCTTAGCCCTAATCAATATCCCTATCTACTAAGGTTCTTCTCTAAGATTCTTCTCCCAATTGATCTTCCTAGACTTGTTGGTTGGGGATTTCCTTGGCTGGATTACCTGAGAGTATTTTCTAGTGGGAGGGAGGTGAGGAAGGGTTCTATCTGCTTCCTAATCCTCTATTTATATGTTTTAGGGAAACCTATCCAGAGTCTGAATAATAAGGCTCACTTTCCTTATTCCATATGGGCTTAAGGTTCCTAGTTCAGGTAATGGTCCACGATTCATTGCGGACCGCCTGGATTAATTAAGAGAATTACAATTGGATTAAATTCCTTTTAATTATTTTAATTAACGGGAATCAATTTAATAATTAATTCAGATTTGAAGACTGTAACACGGGGTGTTACAAACAGTCTGGGATGTTAAATGACAATAACGATAGTATGGAACTAAATTTGGAATTGCCACTAAAGACAAAGGACCTCTGGTGGAATTAACTCCTTCATATTATATTAAAAGTATAGTTGATAATTTGGATAATAGTGATGGTATGATTAATAATTGTTAAAGTAAGAATTTTAGATATGGTAAATGATTCAATTTAATTATGGTAACATGTAATATATATTAACGAAAGTTTAACCGTGTAAGATAATTTTTTTTATGATAAAAATAATAATACAATATTTGTAGCGCAATGTACAACTCAATAAGAATAGAAATACAAACATAAATCATGTGTGTAAACTCTCTATTAAATAAAAACGAAAATGCTCTCGGGAGTCTCTCCCAAACCATCGGCGGTGAGGTCGCCAGAAGACCAAGATCTCCTTGAACGGAGCACAAAGAAAACTAAGACGGGAAACCATGAGCCCAGTGAAGGTGTAACAAATGGTGATCAAGTGATGGAAAATGGCGAGACAGTGAGCCCACCTGTGACCTCGCCGACGGCAAACATCTTCTACAAGGCAGTGGCTGCGAACGAGACGGTGGGGCTAGAACCAACTGAAAAGGATTTGGAACTCATCTCTGATGATGAAGTGGACGGGGAGGACGAAGTGGACGACCCAATCTATCCAAAGATCACCCTTACGAAAGAAGAAAAGTTCCATATGAGAATAAAATGGAGATTAACGCTGATCGTCAAGGTGTTTGGCCGGAGCGTGGGATATACCTATCTCCTCAAAAGATTGATGGCCATGTGGAAACCAAAGGCGATAATGGAATTGGTTATCACCGCTAATGGATACTTCCTAGTGAAGTTTGGATCGGAAGACGATTACGACTTTGCAAAATACGAGGGGCCCTGGATGGTTCTCGACCATTACTTAATCGTTAAAGAATGGAGGCCAAACTTCGATCCTTGGACAAATACCACCGAAAATATCCTTGCCTGGATTCGTATGCCATGCCTTCCAGCTGAATATTATGATCATAATTTTCTGATGAAGGTGGGTAGGAAAGTTGGCCGCCCAATCATGATAGACACAGCCAAAAACCTTGCATCAAGGGCTAGCTTTGCTCGAATCTGCGTGGAGGTGGACATCACAAAGCCTCTACTGTCAAAGTTTAAGGTTGGAAAGAGAGTTAGAACGGTAACGTACGAAGGAATCCATCTAATATGTTTCAAGTGTGGAATGTATGGCCACAACCATGAAAAGTGTGAGAAGAAATCTCCAAACGAGAATATGGCCGCTCAGCCAGCGGATCAGACTGAGCGTAGCCTAGGAACTCCGGCCACCGGTGACGCGAATGGACAAAGCGCCACCCTCAACGGTAACAACGTGGTATGTAAGGTAACTTCCATACTTAGGCCGGAAATCATGGAAGACTATGGGTCTTGGATGATTGTTAAGAAGCCAGAAAGGAAACAAAATCATAAGCAAAATAAGAGGGAATCAGCGGGCAATAAGAGTGGAAACAATGGTCAAAATGGGAGGAATATTAGGGGTGACATAAGGGGAAATAATTAAGGGTCTAGATATGGAGCTCTAGCAGAGACTGTTGAAGAGAATACTGAAATTCCTGAGGAGGTCGAAGAAGAGCAAAATGGGCTGGTTACTACAAACAAAACCCGCCATGCTAAATATAGACTTGACAAAGGCAAAAGGCCTGCAGTCCAAGTATCAGAAAAACAAATTCAGGGTAATAATACTCACGGGCTTCACTCTAAGCAGGCCATGCAAGATGGCACGTCGACAAGAAAAGAAAATACTCAACGTAAGAAAGGCAAAGAAACGAACCAGGCGGCTGCCGAAAGTGAGCACACAATGGTAAGAGGTGACAAAGAAGGTGGTAAGACCACGGAGACAATATCCCTTGCCACGGAAGATGATAACATCAATATCCATCTTGTGAAAACAATCGACCCAGAGCATTCCAGTGACCCCCCAGACGGGAATCTGCAGAGCAATGGGAACATGGTGGTTGATGTGGAAGCGTGTGCTGACGGCATTGAGCTGTTGGATGAGGGGGAAATGGAGATGGAGCTCTGAGATGCTCCATCCCAGGTTTCTTCTTTCTCTGTGTTTTTGTCTTTTTCCTTTTGGCTTCGTGCGTTTCTTTCCCTTTCGTTTTGTGTTTTTTTTCTCCCTTTTGCTTTGTGCCATGCGGTTTGTGCTTTCCCTCTTGTTTGTTGTTTTCATGATCATTATCACTTGGAACTGTCAAGGGGCGGCCTCAAAGAGCTTCATGAGGACTGCCAAATGGATGATCAAAAACCATGCTCCTGATATTTTATATCTTTTGGAAACTAAAACCTCAGGTACGAACGCAGATGGTATCTGTTAAAGACTGGGCTTTGACAAATGGGTCCGGGTAGAGGCTCTTGGCTACAGTGGTGGCATTTGGGGTCCTTTAGCAAGATACTATTCAGATTGAGATACTTGGTTCCCATCCACAGTTCATACACATGAATGTCAAAGATAAGGACGGTCGAGACTGGCGCTTCACATCAGTTTATGGCAGTCCTAATATGCAGCTTCGAAGGCGTCTTTGGAATGATCTGAGTCGGAGTAAAGTGATAGGCAATGGTCCCTGGCTCATTGCGGGGGATTTTAATGCGGTCGTGAATTCTGATGAAACTTCGAACCAAAATGGTGGTGGTACTTACAGGAATGCAGATTTTAAAAACTGGATTTTCAACGAGGGCCTCGTGGACCTCGATTTTTTGGGACAGGCCTTCACTTGGAAACGTGGAAATGATCATGCGACGTTCAGAGGTGCTAGGCTTGACAGAGCTCTTTGCTCGACAAATTGGATGGACTTGTTCAATAACACAAGAGTCTCTCACCTTGCTGCGATTAACTCGGACCACTGCCCAGTGAAAGTAGAGATTGGGGGACATTTTTAGACGTTGTTCTCACTCGTTCAAATTTCAGGGAGCTTGGACAAAACATGTGGGGTTCCTGGATCTAATTAGAAACAATTGGAATAGTAATGAAGATGCTTGACATAACAAAGACAACTTGGTAAGAAAGTTAGAGGATTGGAATAGAACCCACTTCGGGAACATTCACGCTCGGAAAAGGCATTTGGAAAGAAGGCTTGAAGGGATCCAGAAAAAGTTTGATAGCAGCTGCAACTAGGGCCTTATCAAATTGGAAAAGAGAATTAGAAAAGAAATGGAGGAGGTGATTCACCAGGAGAAAATCTTCTGGTTTCAACAGTAAAGAGAAGAGTGGATTAACTCTGGTGACAGAAACACTAAGTTCTATCATGCAGCAGCAAAAATCCGCAAAGCCAAAAAGAAGCATTACCGGATAGGGAATGAGGACAGTACTCACCTGCAAAACGCGAAGGAGGAAGATAGAAGAATTAGAGACTATTTTGTTTCTATATTTACAAAGGAATTTGATCAGGTAACTAAAATGTTGAACGGTGGGAATTTCCCCTCCATTCCAGAGATTCTTTGGAGCAACCTCAACATTACAATTGATGAAATAAAATCTGCCCTTTTTGAGATGAGCCCACTAAAGCCCCGCGACATGACGGTCTACACGCTTGTTTCTACCAAAAGTCATGGGATATTGTGGGTACTTCTGTCTACAAGCAAGTGAAGAATTTTTTTCACAAAGGGACGCTGGAAAAGGGGATGAATGACACCCTCATATCCCTGATTCCAAAGAATGACTACCCAACCAGTCCTAGTCATTTCAGGCCAATTAGTCTTTGCAATGTTCTTTACAAGATTATTACAAAGGTAATGACTAATCGCATCAAACCAATACTTAGAGAAGTGGTCGGTATTGAACAGAGCAGCTTCGTTCCAGGAAGACAGATAGCAGACAACATTCTTGTGTATCAAGAAGCCCTCCACTCCACGCGAACTAAACAAGGTGCGAAAGGCTACATGATCTTAAAAGTGGACCTAGACAAGGCCTATGATAGACTTAACTGGGATTTCATCCGTGAAACCCTCCAACAAGTTGGCATGAATGAGACTTGGGTAAGGAACATTATGCACTGTGTCGAAACGCCTTGACTTGATATTCTTTGGAATGGCAATCAGTTAGAGTGGATCAACCCTAGCAGGGGCATCAAACAAGGGGATTCAATATCGCCCTACCTCTTCGTCTTATGTATGGAACGGTTGAACCACATAATTAAAGAGCAAGTCCAGGAAAATAGATGGAAGTGCTTCAAGACAAGCAGGTATGGTCCGACCCTTTCCCATTTATTTTTTTGCTGATGACTTGGTCCTTTTTGCAGAAGCTTCACAGGATCAAATTCGAGTCATCAAAGATTGCTTGGAAAAATTTAGCAGAGCTTTAGGACAAAGAGTCAGCCTAAACAAGTCACAGATCTTTTTCTCTAAAACTGTAACCATACAAGAGATGCACACCATCAGTGAAATCGCAGGAATCCCCATAACCCCTAATCTTGGGAGGTACCTTGGAGTTCCCTCGATTCATGGGAGGACAACTATAAGCCTCTATGCCCCTATCCTTGACAAGATTGATGCCAGACTTGACAGATGAAAAGTTAAGTATCTCACCCTTGCGGGTCGCCACGTTCTCGCCCAATCGGTCCTCCAGGCGATCCCTTACTATGTAATGCAAACCACATACTTTCCTGTAGGTATATAGGAGGCAATTGATAGAAGAATCGGGAAATTTATATGGGGAAGCACACCGGACAACCACAAAACACACCTTTGTTCGTTGGGATAAAGTGATCCAGCCGAAGGAAATGGGAGGTCTTGGCCTCATGTGACAACACAAAATTTAATTTCATAAATTCAGTTTTAAGAAATTTCAAAATAGCCAACTTTGACTATATAAAAATTTTTGCGATGAAATCGGTGTTTGAATAAATTATTTTGAGCCACTTTTAAGTAAATTCAACATCAGGACTTATTTTAAATCTAAAATCTCAGATTTTCGGGTACATTTCGTACCTAGTTTTTGATCCAAAAAGTCAAACTGAGTGAAACCGGGAGAAATCTGAAGAACCTAAACTAAGTGGTTGTCTAGAAAGTATTTTTGAAAAATGCATTTTGACCCCAAAACTATTTTAAATCATGATTCTAAACCTTGGTCCATGATGCAAAGTGGACCATGAACTTCCAAGCTTTTGTCTGATCCTTTTAACACCAAGCCAAATTTCCCACTTTGCCCTCAACCAATCATTGGCATTTATCCTAGGGTTTTGGACCCTATATAAGCATCACTATTCCTTTGCTCATTCCTTATCTCTTTCCTTGCCTCTCCACCATTGTGCTCTCTGTAGAAGGAAGAAACCATTACAGTAAGGGCTCGTTTGGTTCGCGGAAAATATTTTAAGGGAAGTGGAATTGAATTCCATGGAAAAACAATTACTAGGAAGATGAATTTCATTGTTTGGTTGGTGGAAAAAGAATTACTGGGAATACTAATTCTATTGTTTGGTTAGATTTGGAATTGTAAGGAATAACGAGTATAAAGACCTATATGCCCATACAAATTAATAAGAGTAGTATAATTAAAAAAGAAAACAAGGATAAAATTGGTAATCCATATCACTTTTTCTTCCCATCTCCCATGGAAAACAAAATCCTTGGTCCAACCAAGGATTTTGTTTTCCTCAAATTTGAGGAATTCATTTTCCAATGGAAAATGAATTCTACGAACCAAAGACCGGAAAACAACATTTTCCTCCACTTTAAGAAAAATGTTTTCCTTTGGAAAACATTTTCCATGAACCAAACATCCCCTAAGTTTCCAAGTTCATTTCGAGCCTTTCATTTCCATCCTTTTCTTAAGGTTTCATCTCTTAGTTTTCAATCTCTGGGAATCACTTCTTAGGCTTGGTATGTGTGTTTGTCTGAGGTGTTTAGGTGGTGTAAAAGGTGGTGAAAGCTGAGTAGAAAGGAGAAGGAATCCACACAAGAAGAAGAGGCAACAAGAGGTATAACCTCATGGACTCCCAAAGCAATTTTAGACTCTGTGAAGTCCTGTTTTATGTTTGAAATGAGTAGAAATGCTAGAATATTGGTGTGTTTGAGCTATTAAGTGATTTAGTGTTGATCTATGATGTGTTGTTGATGATTTGAGAGTGTTTATTTCTCTGAAAATGTCTTACAGGCGAAGTAAAAGCTCACTGGTGCACAACACAGTGTGCACCAGGTGAGACACGGAACTAGCCAACGGCCCTAGGGAGGAGCCGTTGGCTAGGACCGTGGAGGAGCGGCCCTAGGGCACGGCTCTAGCCTAGAGCCGTGGCCCTAGGCCGCCGCTTGGCGGCTCCAGGCGGCGGGGCTCCTCAAGCCCCGCTAGGCGAGGTCTGTGCAGTGGCCAGGCCCTTGTGGCTCAGCTACGTGTCGTTTTAGATCGAGACTCGCGGGCCCTCGAGGCTCGGACACTTGGGATCGTCACAACGCACGAGTAGAGTTTGATTTCATTGAATTGGAGTAAAAATGAGCATTTTGTGATAGAATTTGTGAATAAGAATGCTACAGAGAGTGTCTGAGAGTAGTTACAGTGAAGAAAAATGTTGAGCATTTGGTCTTGGCTATTTATTTGAGAAGCATGACAATTATATGATTGTTAGATAATGAAATATTATCCATATTTGTTAAGTTTTGCTAGAAAAGCATGCCTAGATGTCTATTATGACTTGTTGAGATTATTGCAAAGAATATTAAGTTTACAGAGCATGATTACAGTAAATGAGTTTATTGTTGAGCATTTTGAGTCCAAGTGCATGTTGAATACTTGCTAAGTGTTTGCCAATGAAGATTTGTTTAATTATAATTTATAAGCATGTTTATAAAATTGTTGAGCATTCACAGTGAAAGGAGAATTGAAGTGTATGCTACAGTATAGTGCATGTTTGAGCATACCATGTTTTAAAATGCATAATTGGCCAAAGTGAGCCTAAGTATTATTTTCAAAAACTCATATCTATTTTGGAAGGTCATTATCTCGTCGCATTGAGAAATTGTTGAGAAGTTATGTGCATAAGTAAAGTGTTGCATGAGTTGAAATGCATGAACTATATCTATATGTATTAGTGTGAGTAATTCGAGGTTTTGGAGGACCGTTAGGACTATGTCCTTTCTGAAGAAAAGAGATAAGATCGGATAGAACCGACAAAACAGTAACGAACATTGCGAGCCGACAGATTTACCATGTAACGCGGCGTATTCCCACGTTACGAGGTTAGAGACTTCCCGTCGCGCTTGGAATCCTGGTTAGGGGGTGTGCACACTAAAAGTACGATACCTGATTCCACAGAGAAAGCAAGCAAGAAAGAAAGATAAAGAACCAAGAGAGTGGTTCTGTGGGCGAGTTGAGTATTAAGCAGGCTAGATTGCCGAGCATATAAAGGTCCATTCACGAGTGTGAAGGTCCTACCTCCCCCACGAGTTACAGGTTCCGTTTGCGAATGCACGAGATTGCACCGTACGCTAGGGCTTCGCTGCGGCGAAGTACCTGCCTCGCACAAGAAGAGAAACGAGAAGTATGAGAAAGTTTGAGCAAGAAAGAAATTGAGTCAAGAGACTCAAGAGAAAGAAATCGAGTCAAGAGACTCAAGAGAAAGAAAGCGAGTCATTGTGACTCTAAGAAACCTCCACAGAAAAGTATTCTTTTACAAAAGGGTGTATATGTATACCTATCTATACTTATACTATAGCATCATGTTCATTTTATTGCATGATCAAGTTGTTTGCACGAGATTGCATATTGAGTATATGATTGCACTAGATTGCATATTGAGTATATGATTGCACTAGATTGCATAA